ACTCAAGCGGCGGCCATATTGAGTGGGGCACGTGCGATTAATAACGTGCTGGATTAGTGTGATCCTAGTTCATTTTATTACTTCATTGCTGTGCTGTATGTGTATAGGCCAACGTAGTTGGATCTGTATGTGCGTTATAATTAATCGAAATGAATCGATTAAAAAATGTTTATATTAATCGAACACGAAAATTTTAATCATTATCAGCCCTAATAAACAGTTCATGTTTACAAAATTGCAAATAGCAGAAAATAACCCTCAGTGGAGGCCATCATAATGAAATATCTGATATATATTATAACTAACCAAATTAGTTGCATTCCATAAGGGTATTCCAAACTCATAGACATCCATAAGAGTATTCAGATATCAAAGGTTGTCTGCCCCATTTCTGCAAAGGTAATAAATCCTATAGCAACCAAAACAAAGGAACAACTTCTTCATGCATCAACATCAGGGCTCTACCAAACATAAGAGTAGTGGACCTGCGTTGGGGCATAGAGGAATTAACACAGTAAACAAGGCCACACATCATGTATCAAGAACAAGTCACATACTACCAGGCTATAGATGTTCTTACACAATAGGCATATAGCACAGGATCCTGTAGTGTGTGGTCTCCACTGCGGAGGGGGAACCATGCACACTGGCCTCCTCCCCAGGCCAGGAGGAATTTGGGAGGAGGATGTAATTCATTGTGATGGCCTACTTTGAGAGTTATGTTTCTGGCATATCCAATCCTTTACTGATTAATTATTTATATGACTATATAGTGTATGTTCATTGTAGATGGAGATTCAGATCAGTGTATATGAGTTCTTAGAATTACAACTTCAAACCCAGTCCTGAAGAAGCGGAGTCTACTACAAATTATAGCTGTGGTGTACATGAGCTTTGTATACACTGCTATATGCTTTGGATGTTCTAATATATGTCTTTTATGAATACATTATATTAGAGTTTTATCTGAAACATAAACATTCCATGTATTGTTACTGGTATGGTCATAGTTTCTAATGCCAATATAAAAATTCTTATTTAAAGCGCTGCACAAACTGTTGGCGCTATATAAATCCTTTATTATAATAATAATAATAAAGTACAGATTATTTATTTATCTTTATTTATTGCAGGTATTTACAGAGAGCTGACAATTTGCACAGCGCTTTACATAGAGCACATTCACATCAGTCCCTGCCCTCAAGGAGCTTACAATCTAATGTCCCTGTCTCACATGCATACAGGACTGATTTAGACAGAAGCCAAGTAACCTTCCAGCATGTCTTTGGACACCCATACAAGCACAGAGAGAACATACAAACTCCTTGCAGATAGTGTCCTGACCAGGATTTGAACCAGGGACCCCAGTGGTGCAAAGCAGAAGTGCTCATCATGGAAGTGGCCACTTTCCATCCATTAACACGCTCTCTAGTATCTCATAACAGATGAAGAAAACGCTTGCTCAAGCAATGGCTAATAGGGATGAAAGGGAGTATGCTTATTTTATTGCCTCACTGGAGGGGTCCACCTCATCCTTTATTTAAAATGAACCAGTGGCAATGCTATGGACACTCAAGTATTTACATATTCTTAACAAGCAGTACATGAGCTTTAAAGGACTTGTTACTGACCTTCGTTGTTGCAGGCACTGTGGAGCTATTCATCCTAAAGTGTAACAGCAAAAATACCCAATTCATCCTCTTGACTGAGTCACTGCTGGGAGTGGGGAGCAGAGTCAGATAAACTGGTGGGCTATGACTATGGAGGCCGAGTAAGGCAGAAACATGTCAGCGGTTGTGCTTTGTACAGATGCACGTGGAAAAAAGTTTAAATTTCTTCGGAAGATCATCATGTGCTGGTTCCACAGCTTTTGAGTTGCTGAGGGAATTACTTGAACAATTTAGCTGCTTCTGCTGTGAACTTTGAGGATGAATTGTTCTACAGTGCTTGCAGCTATGGGGGTCATTAAGGATTTGCTTTAAATGTTATTTATGCATTGTTTAGAATAGCCTGGCCACAGGTTATATTTAGGGACTAATTCCACCTTTCTGACCATTTTTAATGTTACACCCATATTTTGGGTATATTATGAAACATAGTCACAGTCCACAGACCCCCCCTCTGACCGACCCCTCCTATGTAGCTGTGCCTGGTGCCACCCACACAGCATCCATTCACAGATCCATTCACACAGATCTTTATGTGGAAGACTACAAGTCCCATCTCTTATCAGAGGGACTCGTAGTCCTCAAAGAAGCACAAGTGTAGTTACTTTCTCCAGCCCCATACCTGATGGTATGGACTCAAGGCTGGGACAATAGTCTGCAGGAGCCTGTTCACTCATTATGGTTGCAATGTTTTGCAGGTTCCAATTTAAAAAAATTTAATACATGCACATTTATTGTTTTATTGATGCATTTATTCTTTTTTTTGCAAAAGGTGGACTGTGCCTCTAAAGCTCAATTCTGGGAATAAAAATGTTTACACAGAGGACTAGGTATGCGACATAGCTTTAATATAGTGTATGCTATGTGTGACGGGCTGCTGCATAGTATAAAAATCATACCATGCAGCATGCAGGCTCTAACACATAGTGCTGGACTTGCGAGTTGCTGCGGGTGAATGAGATGCAGCTAGAGTTGTTAAAGGCTCAGTCACATCCCCACCTCCCCTCCTCCATTCACAAAAAGCTGTGTATTTTTTATTTTTTTCAGCATATAAAGTGTTCTGTGATTGGAGGATGAGAGGAAAGGGTGTGGATGCAACAACATTTTATGTTCTCCAATCACAGAATGCTAAGAAACACAGTGCTAGGGATTCTAATGAGCATTAGTAATTGGCAAGTAGATCGTCCAGCTGGAAGACTGGAAGCCGATGGAGCTCTGGACTGCTGCTAAACACAGCATAGCGGACTGAGGCATCCCTTGCATAGTGCTTCAGTCACCAGTGCTGCTCAGGGAGCCTGAATCCTCTTGCAGAAGCGTGTCAGACTGCTGGAGACCAAAAACGCATGTGAAATTTGATTTTGTTCCCTGACACACTGTATCACTAAGACATCATCTTATTGTCTCAGAACTGGCATTCATTTGTCACAATAGTGGCTTAGAGGTCAGTCATCCCTACTGTATGTCTACCCTGTAGTGCTATTTAATATGTTCAAATAGTTCTACTGCTTATAAGAAACAATTAAGATTGTGTTACAGTCAGGTATGAAGAAAATTGATTTCCCTTGATATTAGAATATCACTGATTTCCAAGGTGGACATAAAGTTCTAAGCAATATAAACACTTGACTAAATACTTAAAGTGACATCAAAGGATCATTTTTCCCCCCTCCCCCTAATGTTAATGTCAGCACTTACCTTAAATGATGTCTCATAATCCGATCTTCCTCTTCTTTCCTGATGTTTTCATCTGTCCCTCCAGCGGTGCGGCGGCTCTCTGATCCGGCGCTGACTCCTCTCTGCTTGCAGCCACTTCCGATCCCACGGTGTCTGAATGCGGGTGCACACGTCCATAGACTTACCTTGCATCTCTGCTCGTCTCCCAGCCGAGAATCCGAACTGCGCATGCGCCTGCCCCAAGATGCTTTGCGGCCGCCGGAGCAGTTTCGTGAACTAGGATCACACTAATCCAGCACGTTATTAATCTGAGTTGCCCCACTCAAGCGGCGGCCATATTGAGTGGGGCACCTGAGATAAATAACGTGCTGGATTACTGTGATCCTAGTTCATTTTAATACTTTATTGCTGTGGTGTATGTATATAGGGCAATGCCGCAAATACATATACATACACACACACACACACACACACACACATTCATCTCTCTCTCTCCCCCTCTATTTATATATATTTATATGCAAATGTGTTGGTCAGAGGGAATAATTGTCTTTCATTGACATGGATATTCTGATAATTCTTCTATACTGTTTGCATTTATAAATCTAGTGGCTGTGTGTGATCATTTTGCAATCACTGTAATAAAACCTTTCCAGGGATAACCTTTTGTGGTGTCAGATTCAAGGGGTTTTTTTCCGCAGAGACAGCAGATCTGTTAATAAATGTTGGCCTTCAAAAGACCCTGAATCCTCATGCTTGAAGTTACATTTCTGTCATGTTTAATATTTTGTATAATAATAAAAAGGCTGCTATGGCCATTTAACCTCCTCAGATATGTAGTCTGATTTATTGGGTTGAAGATGGGAGGTTGGTGGTTACAGCAGTATTGGCATCATTGGAATTGGGATATCTATTTTACATTAGTCAAGCAGCTGCACAATATTCTTTCCAGACTGATTCTTGAATGGGAGGGTCTGGGTTCATTATATTAAGCTGGTGGACTTCTGTGTTTTAATGAGGAAAGTTGCATTTCTTTAGAAGTGATTAAGGGGAGTATCTCACCATTGTCACCAAAAATGAAATTGCAATTGAGTTGGGATTCCTAAAATTTCACTTGTATCTTAGTACAGAGATCTGTCAGCATGTACAAACGAATGTACATGGAGTTCCCCATGACAAATAACTCTGTAAATTGCTTATAAATACACCCCTTAAACACCTAGAAACAAGAGCAAGCCCAAAAGCATTTGTGACTTCTAATTTCCTGCTCTTGTGATTGTCTCAGTGCTTTCCCATCAGTTTTGGGTGTGGGTACCTTTTAACCTGCGCTGTGCTGCCTTGACAGCTCATTCAAACGGCATACGTTGCCTTAGTGTAAAATACATTAGCCCACCACAGTGTGAAGCTTTGCTGTCAAAGAATTGCAGACACAAAGGACTCTGGGTAAACCATACATTAGGTAGCATCTTTATTCTATGGCATCCACTGAACGCCTGTGCTAATAAAATCATTTTGACAGACGATTGTATCAGTCTTGGCTGTAACGAGTGCGAGAAAATTAATATGAAAATGATATATGTGAAGAAACTGCTGACCTGACATTATTTGAAGCCGCTTGTAAGTCGACATACAGAACAATGCTTGTTTTCTTTTTTTCAGTGTATGCCACATAAGGGCCATGGATTTATTCTCGGAGCCTACGAGTGCACTTGCAAGCCTGGATTTTATCATCCTGACATCTTTTCAGTGAATGGCTTTCAAAGTAAGTGCCTTTTGGTTGAGCAAGAGGAAAAAAGAGTGACATTAATAATGCAGGACTCCTTTTTATCCTTGTCAGGGTTATACAGTAAATTCCCAGTGGTCTACAACTTTATAATTATATAATCACTTAAAGCAGAACCCTGCTCAGGGGAAGGTTCACCAGTAAGCTTATATAACATATTATTATTGTTATTATTATTATTATTCAGAATTTATATGGCGCCAACAGTTGCATAGCACTTTACAATATAATAGAAGACAGCATAGTTACAATACAATTCAAGACGAGATGGTTAGGAGGACCCTGCTCCTGAGAGCTTACAATCTAAAAAAAATTGAAAAAAATTAAAATAACATAAAATATATATGTTTTTACTAGGGATGCACCGATACTATTATCAGTATCGGTGCCAATGCCGAGTATTTGGGCGAGTATATAATTATACTCGCCCAAATGCTCCGATGCCTAGTCTGATACTTCCTGTATCAGGAAACCGGGGAGCGCGTCATTACATGCTGCCCGGCTTCCTGATTGGCCGGGAAACTGGCTCCATGCTCCCTCGTCACTGTAATGACTCGCTGCCTGGCTTCCTGATTAGTCGGGACGCTGGCCAATCAGGAAGCCGGGCGCCGTGTAATGACAGGAAGTTGATTGGCCAGGAAGTCGGCTTCATGCTCCCTCGTCACCTCATGCTCCCCCGTCACCTCCTGCTAATCAGGAAGCTGGGTGGCAAGTCATTACACGACGCCTGGCTTACTTAATGGGACTTCCGGTATCGGTATTCGCTATCGGCGAGTACCGGAAAAAAATATATATCAGTACTCGTACTAGATACCGAAATACCGGTATCGGTGCATCCCTAGTTTTTACAACCTTTGTGAATATCTTACATATCTTTCCACTAGAGTCTAGGTAAATTATAATTATTATTTTAAGGAAGGCAACTTGGAAACCATATAAAGTCCCTCACGTTATTTTGTATGTCATAAGAAATATTAAAGGTAAATCCGGGCTAAACAAATATTGTCTAAGTATAAGAGCCCTATGCATTCTTGGTGTCCTTCATGTTTAATTTTTCCAGATCTGTGCAGTATTTCAGAATAAAACAACTCCTGCACTGAGATTTTGTAATAAAGACCCATCACTGCTGCTTTCTCTGTTTGCACTGGGGGATTGGTCTTGTCTCCGCTCCCTCCTGTAGTTTTCTGCAGGCAGCCTGTAGTCCAGTCCTCCAGCTGTTGTATATAACAGTCCTTTCACTCCTTAAATTATTATTATTATTATACAGGATTTATATAGTGCCAACAGTTTGTGCAGTGCTTTACAATATAATATAAATCACCCAACACAGTTATTACCTTTTGTATCACTTGCCCCTCCTACTAAATTGTAAATTCTCGTGAGCAGGGACCTCCTACCTTCCTGTATTGAAATTGTATTGTTGTCTGTATTGTGTCCCTCAGTTTTGCAAAAAGCTGCACAAACTATTGGCGCTATATAAATCCTGTATAATAATAATAATAATGACTCCCAGAGGCATGTTGGAATTTGTAGTTAAACCACAGCTGGAGGGCTGGAGTTCCCCACCCCTGCTGTAGTAGATCCCTCCCACTTCCACTCTCTGCACAGGCCATGTACAGCCCAATCATTTGTTTTTTACCACTACATAGATAAATTATTAACAATGTTTGCAAAAGGCATTTGGCACACGCACACACGCACACAGACAAACAAAGATATCTCTCTGCCTCTCTCTCTCTCTCTCTCTCTCTCTATATATATATATTTATTTATAAATAAAAGCTTTTATATTATATTTTAAAAATATAATCACTATAAGGGAAACCCTAGTCAGTGAAGGGAGTGTCAGTAAGCTTTTATAATATTAGGCTACTAGAACATTATTTTATTCTTGAACAGGTGGCCAAGAAATGTATGTTCAGAAGTTTAAAAATAAATTCCCAGCAGCTGCAATCGGCGCCATGTGGGAGGGTTCCCTGGATTGAATTGTACTTTGTATAGGGGGGTTAGCTGTGTTCACAAGGACATTATTAGTGTTGGTTATGTGTTAAGGTGAAGCACTGGGGTCTTGAGGAATGCTGAATTAAGTTTTACTTGCTTAGCAGGACATTACATGTATGTATACAGGAATGCAGCATTATACATGAAACATATACACCGATAGAACTTCCTGTGAAATCATAGAGAAGTAAGCACAGAGACTATCATTGCAGTATACTGCCATCTAGAGCTCAAAAGATAATATTACATCTCTGAATGTCAGTAATAGAAATAATGTTGCTGTTGCATTTCCAACAGTTAGAAGCTGAAATCTGGGATAGTTAATTATCTTTTTTAATTATCTTTTCTGACATTCATTTAGTAGTAATAATCAAGTCAAAGTTAAACAGTCATATCTGAGGGATCCCAGAGTTTATAAGTAAAACTTAAAGGAGGGCTACAGTCAGCTGGTTTATATCAAATGTAGCTACTGTATAGTATAGAATCAAGTTATCCAGTATCAATTCCCTGCAGTTATGGACATTTAAGTTCAACCTCATGTTTTATTCTTATCAGAGGAATACAAAAGCTGGCAATTGTGGAACTATACAATCACTTAAAATGGATGTTTTAGGAAACTAGCTGCCTGCATAAATATATTCATAACTTTTGTTTAAGAGCTAGTTCACACCAGCGGCAGTGCATTCCGAGCCTGATTGGTACTGGAACGCACTGGATCGCATTCCAGCAGGCTCACTTTGTTTGGGGGCGGGAGGGGGCGGTGTGGTGCGTTGAAGTCAATGGCACCGCAGACGTTTCCTCCGGCCACAATGCGATTGCCCGCACCGGAACGCGTGGCACATTAGTGTCCGGTGCCGTCAGAAAAAATGCTGCATGCACTATTTTCTGTGACTGTGCAGGAAATCACATTGCGGCCGGAGGCCATTACCCCCTCCAGGCCCGTCTTTAACGCAGGGCAAAAGGGGCAGTTGCCCTGGGCCCAATCATTGTTGTGGGGCCCAAAGCAGCTGCCCCTTGAGTCTACACTGCTCGCTCCCTACCTGGAGTTGCGGATGTCAGTGTCCCGTCTCTTCTCCCCCTCACCCTCCTGGTTTCCCTTATCTCTCCAGAGATAGGCAAAGGGGACCTTTGTCTGCTCTGCCTAGCAACTGATGATGCTGATGGGCGAGCTGTCATAATTACGTACACCAGCCCGCCCATCACGTCATCAGTTGCTAGGCAGAGCAGACAAAAGTCCTGATCTCCCAATCTGCTGCCTGTCTGCAAGTAACAGCAGGGGGGAGAGATTAAGTAAACCAAGAGGATGAGTGGGGAGAGCACGGGGATCACAGGCTCAATAACAGACTCTGATCCCCTTGCAGACAGGCAGCAGAGATCAGAAGATCAGGACCTTTTTTTTTAATCAGCCCCCTGTCTGCCTAGCAACTGATGATGCAGATGGGCGGGCCTGCTGGTCTAGGCATTCATGATAGGCTCTGATGCCTGTGCTTTGGAGAGAGACAGAGCCACAGTGCCCTGCTCCTCCCACACTACTGTATACTACTCAGGGGACACATTTGCAAGTGACAGAGTGGGTGTTTTATCAAAGTTTGTGACTACGTTGGAATGTGTGACCGGTGACGTGGTCACACATTACAATGTAATCCCTCTCAGTTTGACAGCGATGGAATGTGAGACCGCCTATTGGGTCAAGCATTCCAACGCTTTGTCGGCTGTTCCAGGGCAGATTGGCATACTGCGCAAGTGCAGGAGAACCGATCATATCTGCCTAGAACATCTGATTGGTCTGAAATGTCACTTCTATCGGACTTTGTGAATGCCGCAGAGGGGGGTGATTCACAAACAGTAACTACAGGAGTGTTACAATCAGCGAGCACCGCAGATATATTTTTTATATATCTGCAGCGCTGGCTGATTGTCACACTCCTTAAGTTACTGGGCCAATTATTTAAAAAAAATATAAAATTAATAAATTAATTTGGGATGTTGGGGTGGAGAGAGAAACTGCATGGCAGTTAGCGGGCATGGCTTGGTGGGGGCCCCAAGAAATTGTTTGCCCAGGGTCCAATCAATATCAAAGACGGCCCTGACCCCCTCCCGTCCCAAAACAAAGTGAGCCAGCTGGAATTCGATCCAACACGTTTTGGGGGGTCCAAATGGTTCTCCTTCATCAGGGTTTGGTACTGGTGAACAAATAGGGCACCGGACAGATGCAACTGGAGGGATCCTGAGGACTAATTGGTCTGAAGGGAAGTGTCTGCCAATCTGACCTTAGATTTGTTCTTCAGCAGAGATCATGTGACCTAAGGGGAAGGTGCCTGGTCTTTTAAATGGCTGCTGTGGGATATTAAAGAAGAACGTCAGGCACAATTATTGTTAACCTTTGGCGTGGGGCTACCCCTGGACTGTAAGGGTTAACTGCTCGTTTTCCCCTAGGGTAAAAAAATAAAAATTATACTCGCCCAATCCTCAGAGGAGGCAGCGCTCCCTCCAGCCTGTCTCCCCCTGTACTGCAGCAATTTAATGTCTCCTTGCGTCCTCACATCCCATACAATGTATTGGATGTAATGACTCGAGGATTCCTAGACCACTGCAGGGGAGGAGGAGAGGCACTCAAGGTACCGGTCTAAAAGCCTCCCAGCTCCAAGTGAGTATACTTTTTTTTTGTACCCTAGGTAACAACTAGCAGATAACCCTTACAGTGTGGGGGTAGCCCCCATGGCAAGGGTTAATCAAATTTCTGCCCGGAGTTCGTCTTTTAAAGTGATAGTTTCCACAGCAAATGTCACTATTTCAGGGCTTATGTTAGATTTGATGACATTTGGGGAGCTGGATAGACAGGGTGTCTGCATTTGCCCTTTTCCTTGTAGCTGGATCCCTGGCATTGGCGTCACAAGGGGGGTGCGGACCGCACCCGGGTGACACAATTGTAGGGGTGAAACCAAAATGACTGCCAGTCAGGCACTCGATCATGGAACAAGAGCACGACAGTGTCAGGAGAGAGGAGGGGACCGACGGCATACCTCATCCCGCCGGGTGAACGTTCCATCACCTCTCTGCCGGCGTCCATCACCAAGATTGCCGCCGGCAGGTGCCAATTAGATGGCCGCATATGCAAGACGACGTCATCACTCATGTGCGATGACGTAACGGCGGGGTGACACCCGACCTCGGGACACCCCTGATCCCTAGTGGATCTATTTTCAGCTCCTTCCTGCTTCCTGTCCAAGTAAAGCAAGTCATATACACATAGAAGGGAATTTATCAAAACTGGAGCAGAGAAAAACTGAAGCAGATGTGTATGGCAACCAATCAGCTTCTCTCTTTCATTTTCAAATCTTAACTGAACAAATTGAAGAGAGAAGCTGATTGGTTGCCATGCACAGCTGCTCCAGTTTTTCTCTGCTCCAGTTTTGATAAATTCCCCTCACAGAATTTAAATACAGAAAGAATACTGAGTTTATCAATTTGAAACCAAGAAATTGTCACATTCCATCCCCAGACTCAAAATGAGAAATACAGGATGCATTCCGAATCTGCAGAGCTGTAATCACAGGTATATTTAAGTTTATTGAAAAACAAATGAAGCAATAACTCTAGAAGCGGTGAAAAAGTCTTTTAAGCCACAGCTCGGCGGTAATTCACCGGCACCAATAAAACAAATTACTTGCATGCAACCTGCATGAAATAAATTAGAATGACAATATAGCTGTACCCTGTAATTACATGATTAGGTTCTCGATTGACGCTTGTACTTTTCATTGTTGTGTGGAATTTAGTAAAGGTTAACGCTGTTAATGGCAGTCAAAACTTATCGCTTTTTTCCCCGCATAATAGCGTTGTTTGCTTCACTACACCCAGAGTAGCTATTAAGGAGCTTGTGGCTAGTAATTTCTTTAAGTAAAGGTTATATATTATGAAGATTGTGGAGGCTTGGGTTAAAGTGAAATCTGGGTTTACAATGGAATTTTATTTTGGGCTTTGAAAGGTAGTAGTGGTAAAAATGACAAATAAAAGTGTTGTACGCACGCGCTGGGTAGAGAAGCGTGTCGAGGACTTGTAACTCTACATTGAGAGGAACCCTTAAAATCTTTTTCTGGTCTCAAGGAACCCCTACTAAAAAAGTTCTACTTATACCTTAGTGTATTCAATAACTTGTAGAATGTTTTTTTATAAAATAATAAATAATTTGGCATACCTAACCTAGCATATTTGACACCCTTTGACTGTTTATATTGGTATTTAGTCGAAAATTGCCTTGTTTTGGTCTTCAGTGTAAGTGGGAGATCAACTCACCATTGCTCACTGCTGAAGGAACCCCTATCAAATTTAGGAGGAACCTTAGGGTTCCATGGAATCCTGGTTAAGAAAAGCTGCTCAAGGCACTACAGGCTGCAGTCATTCTACTGGTTCCAGTAGACGCCATCACCAGTGCCCCTGTGCAAGACCTCTTTTTTGGGCCTCTTGTGTTACTACTGACCATGTAAAAAAATTGTATTAGTTGAGAGCTAGACAGTAGTAAGCTCGGACCAGGTCAACGGCACCCCAGATATAGTATTAATGGGTCCCAAAGTGCCCTTTTAGCAGCTGCACGGTCTGCCAAAATGATATCTTTGGAAGCAAAACGTTTCCAGGTGAAGGTCAGCTTTGTAATCATAAGAGCTTTTTTTTGTTTAAAAAGAAAACAAATTACACTATTCTTCTATATTGTGACATTACCAAAACATCTGCACAAATGTGAAATGTATTGAATTTTCAAATCCAATCCATATAGATATTAGGAATTTACATATCCATTAGCAACAGTTTCAGCCATACACTGTTTATTGGATAGAAACAACAAAATAAGTTTTTGCTTATTATGAATGTGGTTAGTTACTTTGCACCATTTGCGTTACATAGGTCTGTTAATCAATGTTTTCACCAATGATACACAACTTTTTTTGAAATTAAATCTCATTAAAAATGTGCATCTTTGCTGTAAACATGAATACTAGACATGTAAGTTTCATTTAGTTCCAAATGGATATTCGTATGAATTTTGTTAAATTCAGACATTCTAAATGCGAACAAATCTGAATGCTCGTTTAACAAAAATTCAGATCCTTCCGAATTTCTTTCAAAACAGACATGTGACTATTCTTTGGCCAATCAGATGTTTTGGGTTGGTTTGGCTGTTGGGGGTTGCATTACAGGCACGACCATGTGGCTTCATTCTGAAACTAAAATTCGGACGGATCCCGAGATCCAAATAAGGAACCGAATCAATTTTCGGATCCAAAATCCAAAAAACAAAAGAAATAAACATCAGAATGGGTCCGAAACGAAACAATTCTTTTTTGCGGGATTACATGTATTATGAATACATATAGTCTTCTGTGCTCTATGAGAGTTTATTTATATACCACATCATGGTATTTGGCTTGGTTTACCGATTTGCATTTGATATTTTTTTTAATTATTGCTCAAGCTGGGTTGGTACAAAGATTTGTGGCTATTTATATATCTTTACAATGTAAGTGGTAATAAAACCAACTATTGTAGGATTTGCAGCTGAAAAGGTGTTCCTCTTTTTTCTGTGGTATTATATATATATCTATATATCTAGATATAGATATATATTGTGCCTGAAGTTCTTTTTATCATCAAATTTATCAGAAAAAGAAAAGTGTTGCATATGAGACTTGTGTAACGGCTGTTTTTATTTCTATAGGGCAGAGAGTGGATAACCATTTTTCTCGTGGAGAAATATCTGAAGAGGAATATAAGTGTCTGCCCTGCAGGGAAGGTTGTTCGTACTGCACGGGGGATGCACCCTGCTATGCTCAGGAGGACAAGTATTTGCGGATTGCTGTCATCTCCTTCCAAGCCTTCTGCATGCTGCTCAACTTCATAAGCATGCTAGTGGTCTACCATTTCCGCAGAGCAAAGGTAAATACTACAACTCCCTCTGATACTCTCCATCTGATATATATAACTGGGTTGTTGTGGCTATTGTTATCTCTGCAAATATGTCACTGCAGTGCTGCCTTATTAATCGTGCCAGAATTTGTACACATTGCCAGACTTTGCTAAGAATGAAGCAGTCATTTCTATAAACAGGTACCACTACATCCAGACAACTGGAATAATTTGTCAACCAGCATGCAACAAATACAATTGCTCAGATTCTACAAATTAATTTAGAAAATAAGAAAATAATGACTGGCAAACCCAGATTTATTTATGAAAAAGGAAACCTATACTATGAGAAATACCCGGATTATCGTTGCTGACTTCCTTCGGAAAATGTAAGTTGCCTGGCTGTCTCTAGTTTTAGTCCAGTCTTCTGATCAGTGTACTGGTTACAGTAAAAGCAAAAGCTTTGGCTTTAGATCACTTTTTAGTGTATTTAGGTTTTGTGCTGCCCTAGGCAAGACTACACTCGGGCACCCTCCCAATCTAGGAAATTTTACGTAACCTGTCATTCGCTGGATACAGCATGCATGCTGTATCCAGATTCTGACAGGTTGCGTTAGTAGCGTAGCAGGAAAGCTGGGGTCTCAGGTGGGCTGTAAAGGATCTCTTGTGGGCTCTGCAGGGTCTCAGTCTGAGACCCTGCAAAGCCCACCATAGACCCGCAGAACCCACCTAAGACCCCGCAGGCCCACCTGAGACCCCGCAGAGCCCACCTGAGACCTCACAGAGCCCACCATAGATCCTGCAGACCCCACAACAGACCCCACAAAACCCACCATAGATCCTGCAAAGCCCACCATAGATTCTGCACAGTCCACCTGAGGCCCACAAGAGACCCCTCAGAGCCCACCACAGAGCCCACCATAGATTCCACAGAGCCCTTCTGAGACCTTGCAGAGCCCTCTATAGATCCTGCACAGCCAACCTGAGACCCCACAGAGCCCATCCTGCACAACCCACCTGATGCCCTGCAGACCCCACCCCAGACCCCACACAGCCCACCATAGACCCTGCACAGCCCACCATAGACCCTGCACAGCCCACTTCAGACCTTGCAGAGCCCACCACAGACCCTGCATAGCCCACCACAGACCCCACATATCCTATCTGAGGCCTTGTAGAACCTACCACAGATCCTGTACAGCCCACCATAGACCCGGCATAGCCCACCTGAAACCCCACAGAGCTCACTAAAGACCCCGCACAGCCCACCATAGAACCTGAACAACCCACCTGAGACCCTGCCGAGCCCACCACAGACCCTGCACAGCCCACCCAGGGACTCTCAGGTGGGCTGTGCAGGGTCCCTTTCCCTGCACACACATGCTGCTCCTATTACCTGGAGCCCCCCCCGGCCTGCCTCCAGATCATCCCTTCATCAGATGGTGGGATATGGGCAGCCCCAAGCTGCCTGCAGCCCTGCCGGACCGTATCTAACTCGGCCCCAGCACAGCCCCGTCTTGGCCCCTCCTCCACCCCTCTGGTCCGTCCTTCTCCACCCGGCATCTCTCAGGCAGATTAGGAGGCCGTGAGATCCAACAAGCAGCCACCTAATTTGCCTGATTAGGCACCCGAGGCTGCCTTATTCTGTGCGGCCCGGCTAGCCGCACTAATTTGGGGGCATCTTTTGCCGCCCCACCCTGGAAAGTGCCACCCAAGGCACACGCCTTGTTTGCCTTTGTGGTGGATACGCCCCCACCCCTGCGGTGTTTATGTTTTTTTCATATACTTAACTTTTTTTGAAGTATTCACTTTGGTCACTTGATATACTGAGTCCTCTTCAGTCTCCTCCTGGTTCTGGCCGGATCCCCAGATGCAGAGATCTGTGCTAACATCATTACTTCATCACTGCTGTCTGCTGCATGCACTGCTGCATGAATATAAAGTGAATTAAGGATGCCATAGTGACGCCCCTTAGAAGATAGTCCCATGACATCCTGCAGTTATAGTATTTCCTTTTGGGGCTGAGTCACACTTTGAGGGTGATTTACTAACCTAAACACACGCACGCACTAGGTGCGTGTGATATTTACACAGCAAAACGTATTTATCAACCAAAAAGTCTCTAAAAGCATATTTCCACTAATGCCATATATGGAAAAAATCATGCACATGATGCATATATAATGCTGCTTCACAGTTTAGACAAAAATGGTTAGCTCATGCATTTACATTCCTGCATTCATCAACGCAAGCAACACAATGTAGAGCTAATTTACACAACATCACCTTGCAATTCATGCAGGGCTTTGCACAACACACCTGCTGGGTGTGTACACACTACAAAGGTGTCTAGATTCCACCAATAGATCATGCTGGGAGGGAACACACTACAGAGGTGTATACTTGTTCGTGGCGTGTTTATAAGGTTAGTAAATCAACCCCTTTGTGTCATTCAATCCAAAAGACTGTGGCCAAAAAGAAGTACTATGAAGGACAACTTCGGATTGAAGGTAAGTATTATAGCCTACGCTGCTTTTTTAAAAACTTTTAACAATCTGCCAGGGGCCGATTTTAATTTGAAACAATTCTGCTTGGAGATGGACTTTCAATGTATTGAAATTTAATTTTTTATCCTTCAGATCTGTTCTGTATTTTAGAAAGCTTGTGTTGGACGGCCTAAAAACAGCAATAAAATAACTTCTAGGAACTCGGTTTAATGTTGCATCCCTTTAATTTGGTCCTCCCTAAGGTTTACTCCAAAAAAGTAACACAACTTTTCATTCTTGACAGTAAAAATCCCTTGCATTTAAAAACACTGCAAGTCTTTGTTCAGATTACAGGCCTAGTTTAATTTATAATGTATCTCTAATATTACTCTGAGGCATCTGTTGAGTTGGCTCTTTGTTAATTTAGTTGTAGAATTCAATCCACATTATATGAGATTTCTCCCATTATGTAAATGTTATAGACTTTAAATGGCTTTCTTAAACAGACAAAATCATTAAGAATAGCGTAGCAGGAGAATGAAACCGTGCAGCATTTCCCAAACTAGGAATGAAGCAGATTGTCTCCACCCAAGTGAAACACACTTTTGTCATTTTTTCTGTCCTCACTGAGGTTTTTCCTTTGTAAATGATGTGATGTACAGCATTGCCTGGAAGATATGTGTATGCCGACAGCATCAGCTATAATCCAATGGATAAAACCATCACCTGCATGATTTTACTATTTACATTCTTACTTCCCAACTCCTAATCTCCCTGTCTTGTATTTATGAGATCAAACAATCCTGAACAACTGTATGCACGATGGATAAATGGCTCCAAAGTTGAGGTTTTATCTGTACTGTACATCAGTAGTTTCAGATGCACAGCTGGGCTCAGGAGCATAAAAAAATGATATAGCTCCACCCACTATCCTTAACAAGATTATGCTCCCTGACCTATTTATAACCACCTTTGCCATACTCCCCACCACTTCACTACAGTCTCGGAGCCCTTGCAAAAAAAAAAAAATCAGTGCTTCCAGGTGCTGGGGGAACATTTGACCATCTCCCAGGATACAGTACTTGGACCTGAGCAGCCAATTGCCAGTCATGGACACTGCCAATTGAGGGGGTGATGGCATCAACCATGTGCAAGCTCTGACAATATCCAACACAAAACTTACTCATGATTTATACTCATGGCTCCAACTGAGGAACAGGGCATCAGGGAGAGGTAACAAAGATGAATAAGTGGGTCAGGGAGGTGGACTTTCAGGAGACTAAAGGAGCAAAGTGACAAAGTCCCTTTAAAGCAAATCTATATTCAAGAAAGTTTTTGGAACCTAATTTGAATCTGCATAGTTGGTAATATAAAGTGCACAGGTGAACCCATCCAAAACTTTGTGACTTAAACTCCACTGCAGTCTGGGCCCGCTGCTGGTCTTGTAGCTGAGCCTTGTTGTGATATCATCATGCCCCGCTGGAGCCCTTAGGTCTCCACCATTGGACGGCCAATGGGAACTGTCCAGAAAAATAGAACGTGACAGACTTTCTTAAACTGCAGTCCAGAAGAGCAGAAAAGATCATGTGGCCATGAGTTCAAGTAATTATATACTGTTTACTATTATTTTTATTATTGTACAGGATTTATATAACGCCAACAGTTTGCACAGCACTTTACAATATAAGGAAATATAAGGAAGACATTACAGTTACAACACAACTCAAAACAAGATGGTTAAGAGGGCCCAGCCCGTGAGAGTTTACAATCTAAAATGTTTTTTGTTTTTTTTTAAACAATCAGTTTTTATTAGGTTTTCAGTACAAAAAATACAAACAGTAGAACAAGTAGGGGGCAACACGGTACAGATGTTGATAAACCTGGTCAAATACGAGGCACTGATATTAAAGGATCACACATTCCATTAGGGACAATCACATGCCCCAGGGAAAAGTAAAGTATAGGGCCCATGTGTGGGTTCCTGAAGCAGTTTTCAGCCATGGCGCCTGTACCCGAGCAGAATGTACAATCCAAGCTGCGGGTCCAGTAATTACAGTAGAGACAGGTCGCATGCCATATTTCCACAGAGGAATACCTAACAGTTTACAATGCAAGGAATGCCGCAGAGTCCATATACAAAACCCAAGGGGCCCATAAGGTTGCACATTGGGGTTGACGGTCCCCCAATGAAGCCGTCAGCTCTTCATAGCGCATGATCAGGCACAGTTCGGCAATCCACTCCCGCACGGTTGGGGGTATCACGGTGCCCCAGTGGCGAGGGATAATCGTCCGAGCCATGGCCACAAAAAAACGAAGCAGGTCTGTCTAGACCGAGGCCAAGGAGCCAGGCAAGACAGACAAAAAGGCTACTTTAGGGGATGGGGCCAAAGAAGTTCCCATGACTTCATTATAGATGGCAAAAACACGACACCAGAAAGGTAAAAATAGCGGGCAGCTCCACCAAATATGAAGGTGCGTACCTTCTGCAGTCAAACAGAGCCAGCAATGTGCTGGCCTATTGGGGAAGATTCTGTGTAAGCTGGC